TATGTTTCCGGAACCGTAGATTTTGAAAACGACCTCCATTTTAAGATTAGGCCACCGCATTTCGATTTCTTTGAGTTTTTCGAATTTTTATGATAAAAGAGAGTGTTCTTATGTTTCCGGAGTCGTAGATTTTGAAAACGACCTCCATTTTAAGATTACGCCACTGCGTTTCGGCTTATTCAAGTTTTTCGAATTTATCCAATTTAAAGGTCTACTTTTATGATGCCGGAGCCTTAGTTTTTAAAACGACTTACATTTTAAGATTAGGCCACTGTGTTTCGGTTTTTTTAAGTGTTTTTGATTTTTCCTTCGAATAAAAAACAAAATACGAAGGATTAATTTATTTTTCAATAAATAAATAAAAATATCTAATCAAAATAAATAAAATATGTATTGTCTCATTTTTAATTTAATTTTAGTTATCTTTTTTAATGTTGTGGTCTCCTGTCACAAAATTATAAGATTTCGAACAATTAGCTGAAAAATCTGAATACGGAAGGTTAAATTTATTACCAGCTGCTTTTCGGCTTTTTAGTTTGTATTCTGTGGTTAATTTAACTTTAGCTTCATAATATTTATTTATTTATTCATACTCGAAAACATATTGATGAAACTTTGTATTGAAAAAATCCAAAATGAAGCCTAATTATTCGAGATGCAGCGGCTTAATCATAAAATGGAGCTTAAATATTAGATAAATTTAAATATTAAAGATTAGAAAAATTTCAATACGTCTCGGATAACATATAAGTAGATCCTTATACCGAAAAAGTAAAAAAAAAATCTTTTATAATCCAAAACACAGTGGCATAAACTTGAAATTGGGTCATTTACAAAATGGGGGAAATCTACTGCTCCAGAAACATAAAATTAGAACTTTATACTTGTTAAATTCTAAAAACTTAAATAAGTTGAAACGCAGTGGCGTAATCATAAAATAGAGGTCATTTTCAGAATCTACGGTTCCGAAAACATAAAAGTAGACCTTTAAATTGGATAAATTCGAAAAACTTAAATAAGTCAAAATGCAATGGCGTAATCATGAAATGGAGGTTATTTTCAAAATCTACGGCTCAAGAAACATAAAAGTAGACCTTACATCTGAATAAATTCAAAAAACTTAAATAAGTCGAAACGCAGTGGCGTAATCTTAAAATGGAGGTCATTTTCAATATCTACAGCTCCGGAAACATAAAAATACACCCTTACATCGAATAAATCAAAAAAACTTAAATAAGTCGAAACGCAGTGGCGTAATCTTAAAATGGAGGTCATTTTCAAAATCTACAGCTCCGGAAACATAAAAATACACCCTCATATCAAAAATATCCGAAAAAACTCAAATAAGTCGAAACGCGGTGGCCTAATCTTAAAATGGAGGTCATTTTCAAAATCTACAGCTCCGGAAACATAAAAATACACCCTCATATGAAAAATATCCGAAAAACTCAAATAAGTCGAAACGCGGTGGCCTAATCTTAAAATGGAGGTCGTTTTCAAAATCTACGGCTCCAGAAACATAAAGGTAGACCTTTATATTGGATAAATTCTAAAAACTTAAATAAATCAAAACACAGTGGCGTAAACATAAAATGGATGTCATTTTCAAAATTTACTGATCGGGAAACATAAAAATACACCCTTATATCGAATAATTCAAAAAAACTTAAATAATTCGAAACTCAGTCACGTAATCTTAAAAAGGAGGTTATTTTCAAAAACTACTCATACGATAACAGACCCACACATCGAAAAATTAAAGATAATTAAATAAATAAAAAAAGGTTGAATTTGAAATGGAAAAGGTTTGAATTTGAATATGGAAAAAGTTTAATTTGATTTGGAAAAGGTTGAATTTGACTTGGAAAAGGTTGAAATTGACTTGGAAATGCTATATATATAATGCTGTACTCCGATCAACATATTTTCCCGACCCTTGGAAACTATCCATTATCAAAATGATACATAAACCCAAAAAGCCACCAGAATACCCATCCTCTTACCGTACTATCTCTCTTTTACCCATCATGGGAAAAGTCCTAGAAAAACTCATCCTAAAACGCCTGTACCCAATCCTAGATTCTAATCACATAATCCCAGATCACAAGTTTGGATTCCGCAGATCCCATTCCACTATCCAGCAATGCCATCGTGTGGTGGATGTTGTCTCCTCTGCATTAGAGCGCGGAATGTACTGCACGGGAGTCTTTCTCGATGTAGAACAGGCTATTGATCGAGTCTGGCACCCGGGACTACTTTACAAACTCCGTAAATTACTACACCCTACATACTTCCTCATTATCCGTTCCTATCTAACTGATAGATACTCAAAAGTCAATCACAATAATGCTTATTCATCCCTCTTTTTCCAGTCCGCTGGTGTTCCTCAAGATAGTATCCTTGGTCCTATCCTTAACACAGTTTATACAGCTGACATCCCAACCCATCCTAACACTGTTATTACCACGTATGCCGATGATACATGTGTCCTATCCGTTAATGATGACCCAACCATTGCATCCCAAACTCTTCAATCGCACATCACAAGCCTTGAAGAATGGTGTCAAAACTGGAGGATTAAAATAAATTCTAATAAATCCCATCAAATCACCTTTACCCTTCGACGTAAACCTATGACATCATGTCCCACAGTATCCTTTAATAATACCCCACTTATCCCTGTTGAACAAATCCGATACCTTGGACTTCACTTGGACAAACGTCTAACTTGGAATCCTCATACCGGACTGAAACGACAAGAAATCGCTCGACGTTTCCGACTACTCCAACACTTACTAAACAAACGCTCTAAGATTCCAGTTAATTACAAAAGACTTATATACACGACTACAATAAGACCTATTTGGACTTACGGAGTTGAGCTTTGGGGCTCCACTAAGCCATCGAATTCCTCTCGTATCCGATCCTTACAATCCAAAATCCTTCGGAAAATTCTCAATGCTCCTTACTTTGTCACCAATAAAATAATCCATAATGACCTTAATGTTCCATATGTTTCCGATTTGGCCCAATCCTTCCATAATAAACTTCAGAACCATCCGAATCCTCTCGTCTCTAACCATGCTTCCTCTTCTATTCCTGATAACCCTCCGAGGCGTCTGAAAAGAAGATGGCCTCGAGATCTCTTATTGTAAATACATTTTGTTTTTAGAGTGCTACCAGTGGGTAGTTTCTCAACAAGTCATTTCATGTTTTTATTTTCTGTTATCAAATTTACTTAATGTAATTAATTTTTTAATACAGTTGTAAATATCATGAATAAATAAAATAAAATAAAAAATGTATATCAGGGTGGCCTATTACGTTTACGGGGTATCTTTTTTTGGAAATAATGTCGGATTTGAAATTGCGCCTCTCCCGCATCAATTTTTTGTACTTTTTCGGATTTAATCGATATCAGGGCCGACGATTATGTTGCGTGGTGCGTTTTTATGAAAAAAAATGTCGAAGTTGAGATTGCGCCCCCCCCCACTATCCCGCTTCGACTTTTTTTAATTTTTCCGATTTAATCGCTATCAGGGTGGCCTATTACGTTTTCGATTGCGCCCCTCCCGCATCGAAATTTTGTAACTTTTCGGATTTAATCTATATCAGGCCACCCTGATATCAATTAAATCCGAAAAGTTATTAAAAGTCGATTGGGGTGGCCGAAATCTTAAATTCAACCGTATTTTCATAGTAAGCTACCCCGAAAACATAAAAGTCGACACTGATATTGATTAATCCCGAAAAGTTACAAAAAGTCGATGCGGGAGGGTGGGGGTTACGCAATCTCAAATTCTTCAATTTTTTCATTAATAACACAGCCCAAAACATAATCGTCGACCCTGATATCGATTAAATCCGAAAAGTTACAAAAAGTTGATGCGGGAGGGTGGGGTGCAATCGCAAATTCGACGGTATTTTTATAATAAGCTAATCCGAATATATAAAAGTCAACCCTGATATCGATAAAATCCGAAAAAATTACTAAAAAGCGATGCGTGGAGAGAGGGAGGGGGAGCGCAATCGCCAATTCGACATTATTTTCATAAAAAGCGCCCCTCCCCCCAAACATAATAATATACAATAATATGGATTACTGCGTTGTTAGGTGTGGTCAGGTCCTATATTGGCTTTTCCCTAATAAAAGTACTCAAATCATAAAAGTAATCGAGTACTGCCCGTATCTAGTATGGGGGAGGGGGGAGATAAACGGGGGCGTGAACGAAAAGTAAATTTTAAGTGAACTATACTGTTTTTATTTTGGTTATTTCAAACCGTTTTGCAGCTTTAAGAATGGTTATTCCAGAACATTATTTCTGAAAGAATCATTTCAGAAATAATTATATCGTTATTCCTGAAATAATTTATTCCAGAAATAATCATTTCGGAAATAATGTTCATGTTATTTCATGAAATAAATTATTTCTGAAATAATTATTGAGGTTTATTTAACTATTTATTCCTGGAAATATTATTTCAAATAAATTCTGCCCAGGTCTACTCCACACTATTCTTGACTTTCATATTTAAATCTGAGAACTATTATATCAATTTATAACCTCTTTGACTAATCTAATGTTACTTGTGTTTTAATTTCATTATTCAATGTTAACATTTTACCATTGTTTATTGTTGATGTTAATACAAGTATGACAATTTGGACTTAGTTATTTATTTATCAAGCTAGATGTCATGTAGAAGTGTTTTAATCTTACTTCCTAATAAAACTACTGGATAAATTAGTCTGATGATCCCGAACACTTCTCCATTAATTTTTTTTACCAGAGTGCCTTTGTACTTATTTTTCAAACTATATTCAATTTAAACGTTTATATATATTTTGTTCTCAAAAATTATAAAATTAGTTTTAAATATTGTAGATCCAATTTTATTTTAAACGATTCTCACTGAATGAGTGGACTTATTAGTGAACTGTGTACGATCATCTTGTTCTCTCTTGGAATAAATTTGTGAAATTTATTGTAGTGTCAATTCTTTTGATAGCTCTAAACTTTAGGGTATTGGTTGAATTTATCTGTTCCACCTAACTAAATTAATACCAACCAATTCCAAGCTTTAATATAATAATGTTTATCTTTTGAATTATCAAAGTAAATAGGTAAATCTTATTTTTAATGCACCTAAGTGAAAGTATTTTGTTGGAAATAATATTACAATTACATACAGTTCGAGATTTAATATTTATTTGCTAATTATAATTAAATATTTTCCTTGGTTAGGATTTGCTTGCCTTCATACATTGGGAATATCAGTTTGTTCATTAATCCCTTTTTTCTTTCTCTTTAGGAAGTGCTTAGGAAAAATAATAACTCTGAAACTAATAATTTTGATTTTCTATGTTTGCAGTGACGGACGTCTTCATGAAGGTGACCAGATATTGGCTATCGATGGCCAACCACTGGACTCAAACATCTCGCACCAGCAGGCGATCTCTATCCTGCAGAAGGCAAGAGGACTTGTTGAGCTTGTTGTAGCTCGAAGTGAGGATCAACAGCCATCCTCCTTGACACCTTCTCCATCGCCTTCTGCAGTTAGTGATTCGTCAAAAGCTGGTTCAGACATGGTGGTTGGTTTTTTTTCTTAAGAAGTTATTAATTACCTTAATTATATTGTTATTTCTTGAATTCTTTACAAAATTTAAACTAATGATAATCATTTCAATCATGTAATATGCTAATTCTTTTGAATTTTCATAATTTCCAAAATCTGTTTCATTTCTATTTCATATTAATATTAATAATTTACCTATCATTTTATTTCAGTATCTTTCCTGCAGTTTAGTTATTTAAAAAAAAATATCTAAATCAATCTTAGTCTGATTATTTTATACATCACTTACTTTTAACCTTTTAGCGATGATGAGTGGGAAGGAAGGATGGCATTAGCTGACAGTTCTCATTGCTCCTGTGATGGAATAATGTTCATCACCTCTACTTACCACTTTAGTCTTCTTCTTAGGCCATCGTTCCAAATTTTTTTATTTTGGTTTTGTTTTTGTCTAACTTTTATACAATTGATAGAAAATTAGTTAGAAAATAGAATTCATCACTGAGCACCTCATCATTTAAAGAGAAAGAGGCTGACAGGCACTCAACTCATATACAAGTCCACCATCACTTGGGTGTGGTCCCGTCTCGAGTCATATATTAATATATTATATATATATATATATATATATATATATATATATATATATATATATATATATATATATATAGATTCATTGTTAAAGGGTTAATTTACAGGTGATATATGAATAATTCTAATTAATCATTTTAGCTTAAATGGTATGGTTTGTTTCAGTTAAACACTGAATGGGCCCAAGTTGAAGTGATTGATCTCATTAACGATGGCTCAGGTTTAGGATTTGGAATCATTGGAGGACGAAGCACAGGTGTTGTAGTCAAGACAATCCTTCCGGGTGGTGTTGCAGATAGGGTCAGATTTTTATTAATTTTTTTTTGCAGTCTTTTTATTATTATTATGTCATTTCCTACAGATATAATATATTTGTATTTCTCATTCAGAGTATTTATGTGTGTGTTTTAAACATACTCTAAAGTTCTGTTTAATGACACATGTTTATAAGTGTACTATTAATATCTTAATGATATTAAAAGATCATTTTTATCTGTATAGAATGGACGGCTACAAAGTGGGGACCACATCTTGCAAATTGGCGATGTCAATCTTCGCGGAATGGGTTCAGAGCAAGTGGCAGCAGTGCTTCGTCAATCTGGAAGCCATGTTCGATTGGTTGTTGCCCGTCCAGTAGAACCAACATCTCCTGATTATCAAGCTCTCGGTTCACATGCTCCTATCGTTCCTACTAAAATTCTTGCAGATCCAGAAGAACTTGATAGACATTTGGTTCAAAATGGATATCCTCAAGTAACTTATAACACTTCAACTCCAAATGTAGAACCTTTTGACAATCCTTTCATGTTCCATCAAGAAGGAGAGCTTCAAGTAAGAGTAAGTTATGTATTAGAGTTGATTTTTTGTCTTATGTGTAAATATTTAATAGTTATTAATTAAGTTAATGTTTTACTTTTTACACTAGAATAATATAAATATTTTTTATTGAAGAAGTTAAAATAAAAAAAAGTTTGATGAAGTTATTTTCTAAGTAAGTAAATGATATTATGTTAATTATTATTCATTTAAAACACTTATTCTAATTTCTTAGACAACTGTTTATTTCTATTGTTTGGATCTGTATCTATAGTCTTGTTGAACACTTCTTTTATGATGACTGTGAGGGATAATCTTATTACTTATGTTTGCTTAGTTTCCATTAAAATGCCTCTATCATCAGCTTCACAGCTTTTTCTATAGGCTTCAGCCATCATATGGTTAATGTGTTAGAGTTTCCAGTGTTAGAGTGACCAGATTAGTTGGTCATGATGTGCTGAATGATTGTAACATGTTATCATTTTTTAATTTATTCCTTAGATCCTATCAAGTAATTTTTTTATAACTCCATATTGAAGTATTGACTCTCTTTGGTATTTTGTATATTTTATTGATTTTTTTATGCAAGGTATCTTTTACCATCAAATATTTCTTGGATAAGAAGTTCAAAATTGATTTATCTTTTGTGGTAAAGAGTATCATAATTGTTTAACATGTATAGATATTAAACCATTTATCCTTGCACCTCATTCAGGTATTATTTAAGATTTTTTTGCAGTATGGAAATCAGCTTTTCTCCAATGATTATTATTACAGCCATATTATTAATTGTTTATTGTTAAACATTCATCTAGTATTTGATTTTTAGGACTGTCATCAACCACAATAGTGGTGATAAAATATCTCTTTGTTTAGTTTATTTTGATAACACTATTATTTTCAGTTAGTGGATATGTGATTAAGATGTTTTAAAAATGGCATTCATTTATTTTGATGTCAAATGTTTTCATGTATTAACCTAGAAAATATAGAACATGATACAAAATGTAGTACTCTCACTACCAGTATTCATATACAGTATTCGTATTCATAATTTCAATAAAATACCTTTGTCTATTTTCTTCCAAGGAACAAGATCCAAGACACCTTGTGGATGTAATACCTGGCTTGACACCACCATTATTGCCACTTCTGACTATGGATATGCTGCCTTTAGATACCCAGCTACCTGAAATGGAGAGATTCACTGTTGAGCTGAAAAAAGATATTCAGGGTTTAGGAATCACCATTGCTGGCTATGTTTGTGAAAAAGGTAATATATTGTATTTATCTATTAAAAATAGCAAAATAATTTACACATTAATATAAAAATTATGAATTTGTTATAATATTTGATTTTTTAGAGGAATTATCGGGAATATTTGTTAAAAGTATAAGTGCTGGAAGTGCTGCTGACCTCTGTAAGAAAATACAAGTTAATGATCGAATCGTAGAGGTAATAATAGTTTTCTTTATTTCACAATATAATTAACATAAATTAAAAATACCTTAAAATAGAAGCATTAATTTAAGCAGGTAAATTTAATAAGCACGCATCTATTTATTAATTACATATATACATAAGGAGTCGATTTATCATTGGAAATTAATTTTTTTTTTATTATTATATTTAAAATATTAAAATTTAAAAGCCCAAAGTTAATTTTTTATTTTCAGTACTTCTGTTTTTAAATAGATTTTCTTTTCATCCTTAGTTTCTTTTATTGATGGAAGTTCTCGACTGTTCTACATATCGTTGGTGATAAATATTCAGGATGCAGTCAATTTTAAAGTTCTTTATCGCCAACATTTCAATCCAAGCTTGTAGGGCATCATCAGGGTTGAAAAATTTGTAACATCAGAGATATAATTATGATACAAGAGATAATAATTAATAACAATAGATAATGATAGATAAATAGTAATATAAGTGTAATGTATTGGCTAGAGTTTCTGCCTAGTATTTTGGAAGTGGGGTGGCCAAACGGGCTAATGTGTCTTAGCCAACCTGACAAAGTTATGGATGATAAAATAATTACAAGTTTGCATCTCGGCACCAGGGGGCTTTTAACTGTGGCAATAATCTTCCATCCTCGCCTCCTCGTCTGGAAAAAAAAATGAATAGCCTAAGGGTGTAACGTATATATGTAGGTGAGGAAGGGAAAGGAAGGTAAAAAAAAGGATAAATAGTAATAATGAATAATAACTAATATAGAATACTGTGAATAAAAATGATAAAATAGGCTATAGAGGAATTTATGTAATTAGCTAAACAATAATCTTATCCGATTCCCCTGGCTCTGTTTTCCAATCCTTGCTGTCTTGAGAAACACATCTGAAAAATTCTACCGTGACTATCTAACCCACCTACTGACCTTGTAACATCAGAGATATGATTATGATATTAGAGATAATTGTAAACAACAATAGATAGTGATGGATAAGTAATAATAATAAAATAATAACTAATGTAGAATGATACAAATTCATGATAAGATAGGAATATATGTAATAAACTATAATAATAAAAGGCTTAGCGAACCTGATGATTCAACGCCAATATCAACAATTGTTGTCCACATACCTCCCTTCACCGGTCGCCGTCCAAACCCAGAGGAAATTTATCACCAGTATTTCAGATTAGAGTATCCTTACATATTTGCCATATTTTCCAAATGATATTGACATGCCTTCCTCTGGTTCATCCTTTCTCCAAATCCTGTCTATTTTAACATTATAATTCTTTGATCTGAGTGTCAGAGTGCATAGTAAGCACCCTGTTTATTTTTAAAAATTATTTTTCAATGTCCCTCATGGGTTGACTTGAACATAAGTTAAGTTTTTGTAGCTTATAAAAAGTTTTCTAGGACTGCTTTTCTATCTCAAACTGCAAAGTAATAGACCTAACAGTACTTCCATGGCTGCAGTCAGAGTAGTTTTCATTGCATCTGTTATCATTAAACGGGTTAATCTCTGTAATTTTTCCAATTGTATCCTGTTATTGCCCAATCTTGTCCTGTGCCACCTGATACAACAGTTGAATATAAAAGCACAGGTCTAATTGCTGTGACATACAGCCAGTAGACCATCCTTCATTTGCCTTAGCAACAGCATTTTTACACCTCCAAAGGCATTTTAGTGCTTTATTAGTTGTGTAATCCACAACATTTTATTGTCCAGCATAATGCCTAAGTGTTTTACCTCCTTACTTAATGTTAGCAGGATGCTATTAATTTTAGGTAATTTTACTTCAACCTTATTCTTCTTTGTGAAGATGCGTTTATACGTTTATCTTGGCCGAGTTGACACTCAGTCCACTGGGCTGGCTCCATCCCTCCAAGACTCCTGTCGCAGTCCTCAACAGATCAGAAAGAACATTCTGATGTTTTCCACATATAAAAATAGCGATATCATCCGCATATCTTTGTGCATAAAAGCCTGCAGTATTTAGTTTTACAAGAAAACTGTCCACCACCTAATATCACAGTATTGGGGAAAGCATACCTCCATGTGGGCAACCTCCACCAGGTTCGATCCATATTTTGTTATGTCCTAGGGAGCGGGGTAGCTCAGTGGGTGAACACTGACTTTCAAAGCCTAAGGTCCTAGGTTCGAATCCGGAAGATGTAGTAATTTTTCATCAGCTGTGGATTGACCCTGGTGGTCCGGGAGACCCTACTGGGGAAAATCCAGCCTCTATAAAGTAGGTACTATTAATTAAATAATTAATTATGGGAGAAAATCTGGTGGGGTGGTTGAGCGTGATATCGCCCTGATCACCTCTCTACACATCCGTTGGCTTTGTAACAGTACTTCTTTCTTGCTGATAAAATGCTCTTCACCATAATAAACCTGCATCATCCCCTTTTAGCAGCATCTTGAAATACTCTGTTCATCCGTCTACTATATATTCGTTTAGCCATATAATGTATACTGATCCTTGTTTTCTTTTCCGAGATTTTGGCACTTCCTTTATCTTTCGCTTAATGTATTTTTGCAATGTTTGGGTTCAATTTCGCATTCAATTTTCCTCATTTTGAGACCAAATACTAACAATCAGTTCAGGTTATCTAAAAGAACTTATAGCATAGCCCTATCCATCTTTTTTTGTAAAGAGAGAATAATGTATTCAATATTGAAATTTCCTATTTTTTTATGATATGATCCAACTTTCGAACAAATTAAAAATGAATTTATATTTGATATATAATATATCATATATATAGTGATATATGAGTTTTACTAAACAATCCATCAACTATCATTATATATAGTTCAGATTAGGTATATATTATTTTAGTTTATAAAATAGGTATTAATATGACTCATTTCCAGAAGTATATACAGTTAAAATTACCTCTAAAGATCAATAAATATACAAACCAAAGTGTTAAATTGCAATCGTTAAATAAAAAATTCAAGATATTCAGCAAAGTATTTTTGAATTAAGTTTTATTATTATTATATCATTATATATTGCGTGGTCTGAGGAGAGAAAACATAGGCATGCGAAGCTCATGAGGGGCATATCAGAGAAGAGGAGGCAGATGAAGAGGAAGAATTAAATTTGTGGTATTCTTGTGGTCTTTAAGGCCTGTTCGTGGGGAGGGGGGGGGGAAATTATATTTTTACAATAGATATACAGATATAGATGGTAATATGTTTGAACAGGTAGATAAATTTAGGTATCTAGGTTCTACGATAACTAGAAAAAACGAAATTGAAGAAGAGATTAAGGTTAGACTGAAGGCGGGAAATGCTTGTTATTTTTCTGTGACAAAACTACTTAGTTCGCGCCTCTTGTCCTGAAACTTAAAAATTAGAATCTATAAAACAATTATCTTGCCTACAGTTCTTTATGGATACGAAACTTGGCCGCTTACATTAAGGGATGAGCAGCGTCTTAAGGTTTTTGAAAATAAAGTATTGCGTAGAATATTCGGACCGAAGAAGGATGAGTTAACCGGAGAGTTCAGACGGTTACACAACGCCGAATTGCGTGAGCTGTATCCGGGTAATATAATTGAGGTAATTTCATCAAATGGGCTTGTAAAGTTGTTGGGCTTAGTAACGAGAGAATTCCTAAAAGGTTAATATTTGCAGTGCCGAATGGTAAGCGTCCGAGGGGTAGACCGAAGCGAAGGTGGGAAGATTGCATTCAAGCCGATCTGAAGGGACTGGGTTTGGACAGCGAACGGTGGAGGGAGGTGTGTAACAAGTGATTGGTGGTGTCGGCATCGAACCTTCGGGTTCGCTAAGCCTTATTATTATTATTATTATTATTTTACAATAGAGGTTTTCTTAAACGACCTCCATATAGAATAAAGGAAGTTAAATTTAGAAAAAAAAAATAATAATAAATTTTTAAACAAATTTTAAATTTTTTTGGACAATTAAATTATTGCATTAATATTTGTTTATTAATAAAATCAATATAATGTACCAAAAACGTTATTATAGCACTATAACTAAGCCATTTATGAGTACTGAATGGTGTGGTAGGGGCCTGAAGGCACCTACGCCAGTACCGCTTTTCTGCCACTTAAGTATATTTTCTATGGAACTGCTTCAAATATTTTAAAAAGTAATCAGTGTTTTAGAAAGAAAAATATATTCTCCAGATGTTTTATTTGAGCACATTTTGTGTTATTGTTGGCTGTTTAATTACAAACGACACTTGATTTTCAACTTGAAATTTTTTTTGTTAAAAAAGTTTATTTTAAGGGTGTTTTTTATTGCCTAAGCCAATTATTATTTTTTTTAATTTTTAAATGTTTTATTACTCTCTGACTATTAGGCTTTTATAAAAGACCAACTACGACGAAATTAAGCCAAATGCTGATTCTCAGTAACTAACTAGCCCAGTCTTAGAGTATCTCTCGACCAGTCAGGAGCTCAACTAAGTGCCACTCGCTAACCATAATATTTAAACAGTTATTTTTGAGATATCATTCAATTATTTTCCATAGAAACATCATTCTGTATTACTATATTAATATTAGAGCTTCACTACAGTCATTTCTTAGAAATAGAGTCATAAAGTTAAAAAACAGTGCCGGTGAAGGAAGCAATTGAGCTGGAGTAGTGGGGATAGCCAGCAGCAGCCTAATCCTACCAGCTTCCACCCAAACAAACAGGTGTGTCTCTGACAATATTATTGTTTTCATCTACTTTCGACTGTACAAAGCAATAGTGATTTATTTTAATTTTATCATTATTTTTTTTTCTAATCAATATGGTTAATTGCAAACTGTGTTCTAAAACAGTAAGCCGAGAAGACAAAACTAAAATAGTTTGTGTCACGTGTCAAAACCTATTTCACGTGAAATGTACAAAAATTGGTTCTACAGACTTAGAAGGCCTAAAAGAGACCAGCAAAAAATGGAGATGTAGCGATTGCGAATTATTATCGGGTACGTTGCCAGCTGCTGAGTCTAGTAGTATACTTGACCTACT